TCGTAATATGCTTCTCAGTTGAAATGCATGATTTACTATTACAGTGACACAGTTTGACGTTTAGCATATGGCTTTCACTGTCAGATCAACACCTATTTAGTATTTACTCGTCTCACAAACTCGGGAACCAAGAACCATGGCATCACATTCATTTGGCAAGTTATAGACCTTGGACGGACAACAACAACTACCAGCCTAGGTTGCAGCCTTGTACCTGCAAAGGACCTTACACCTCAAAACCCTATCCCCAACATAAAACCCTGGCATCACCATCATCTTCACCCTGCTTGGCCCTTGTGATCTCTGCCTATCCTCATACATATCTTCCATGTAATGCCCATCGAAACTCGTGTTTTCTTCTACCCTTAGAACCCCCAATGGTGGGTTGAAGGAATGTGCCAGCAAATGAAGCAACCATATGCATTTCGCAGCAACAAAGAATGCTTGGAGCAGCTCTTCAGACCACGCCCGACTCCAATTCAGACAAGTGATAATGCAATTCATTTTTTGGTCGCAGAACTTACTGAACTCCTCGCTGTAATATTTCGTTCCCTTTCTCAATACCTCGTTCCAGCTCAGATTCCTAAGTGCTACGAATGATGAGAAATGTGTCTGACGATCCTGATGTGGGTCCAAGAATTTTGGGCATCCATTCTTTTGGAACACACAATTCTCAAAGTCTTGGTAGAGGCACTGATTAATGAAAGCTTCAAAATGGTATAACACAGCCTTTGAGTACTTGGCGTTCAGAGACAGCTTGTATGGTTGGAGAAGCTGGTTCAGATTCTGAGTTAAGGCACGATCGGTTTCTTCAATCTGGCTTATAAGGGTCTTACAGAATTGCTTCACTGATAATCTGGCTTCCGATACAATCTGCAAAAACCCCTCTACCATTACTCCCTCGCTCACAGGCATCACATTTTCCGCACTCCCATCAGATGGTTTTCCTCGCTTGGGCAGATTATTAAGCTTTTCACGAACACGGCAATCCTTTGCTAGTCTCAATGCTTTCTTCAGCTCTTCACAGTAACTCTCCAAGTACTCTAATTTTTGTTTAACCTCCCCAAATAAAGATTTCATCTCGGAAACTTCCATTAAGGCCGCATCTCTGTTCTCATTTGCTTCAATCAGCTCTTTCTTCAGTGTTTCGATTGATACGTTTCCTAAATCCTTAAGAACCTGAGAAACTTCCTCGGATTCAGTTCTGTTTGGGGAAGTCTCATTCTTGCTATGCTTTTTCTTTAGCCGAGGAAATAGCCAAGAAATAATCCCCTTACTCTTGGGTTGTGGCGGAAGAGATGAGTGAGAATCGGTGAAAGGGACAAGAACTTCGGAAGTGTTAGTGTTACTTCTGTTTTCAGATTCTGCAGTGATGAGGGAAGGCTGACATCTATTGCAGGAGGATAGAGAGTTGAAGTCGTCCAAGCTGTTTCTTCTCCTGGACTTGAAGAAGTGATTACTATTTGCAGGTGATGTTTGAAGAACTGTAATGTTGTTGGCACTAGAACCGTTGACAGATTTGGAATCGTCGGCCGGGCATACATAGGATTGAAGGCTGGGATTGACAAAACCAAGAGTCAGCCCCTTTCTTGACTGGGAGTGGGGTACGATGATTTCCGTATCTTGTCCTGCTTTCACATGGCTGTCGTTCCAAATTGATACTGCCTGTTGATAAGCGGCCACTGGTTCGTCTTCGTAGCTCTGTGCATGATTTCATCGCTAATAAATTAATCAAGTAACAAAATTGATCGGAAATTGGGGGAATTATTACGCACTAAAACAGATACAAGCCCGAAAACAATGGAAGACAACAGTGAACAGACTCCGCTGTTGGTTTACAAATGACAGGGATGAGAAAGAGTGAGGATGACCAACACAGAATTGGGGCATAGACCCCAAAATTCACCAAAAAGCAAAAGAAAGCGAGAATCCCGGAAGGTGAAGAAGTGGAAAATTCTATTGCAGTATATGTGATGAGGAAGAGGGAACGAGAAGGAAGAAGGAAAGAAAGGTTAGAATAGTTGGGATGTAAAAGAGGGAGGGAGGGGCTTACAGGAGTGAAAACAGGGTAGTCGTGGGCAGAGAAGTGAACAGGATTCCCTTGGCGCTGCACTGCTTCTGCAATTTCCTGCCTTGCCTTCCCAATTCCCTTGCTGCTCTCTTCAGCAGCCATGAGCGCAAGTACTTGAGAAAACAGATAACTTTAAAGGAATGGGAAAGGGACGGCATGTGAGCCAGAGAGAAAGCTGACTTTAATACTAGAATATATACATATACATATATATATATATATATATCCATGACCATGAGGCTGGCACTATGGGCAGGAAGGGAGTTTACCATTATGCCCACGGATTCCAGGGAGCGACAGGGGGGTGCCGTTGGCGTTCGTTCCTCCCGTATTCTACAAAAACAAAGTTTACCATATAAAAGATGAAAAAAGAGGACAAGGTAGTGGACGATCGGAAAGGATGGAAGACAATGGCAATTACAGAAAACGAGGGTGGGGACCCAGGTTCCATTTTTGAGTGGTTGACAACGGAAGTGACAAAAAGGGATCGGTCATGGCCATACTGGTCCCCGATGGACACTTATACAGAGATAATTGTGGGAGACGCGCGGATCTCCGGAAAGAAGAAGGAAGGGTATTTCTGAGAACGGAGAAGATATTTGCTTTTTGGAATGCTTTACCGTGTCCTCTTTTACAATTGGAATAAATGGACTTCCACTGTGGAAGTTGAGGTCCTTTCTGTTGATAAGGTATGAAAACAATAAGGAGCACGAGGCAGCCACTTCCGAAAGTCAGCAAGAAATTGTCAAGTGGCCCGTGTTAAAAGCGTCGTTTTTTATTGTTTAATCAAGAGCATTAGAGTTAAAAATCAGGTAGGTATTTGTGATGAACCCGGCATATATTGGTGGGACCTCAGAATGACGCGTGGCTTGTGATCATTTATGCTCTGCTGAAGTTTAGAAGAAAGAAAATCAGGAGAGAGAAAATAAAGAAAAATAAAACTAGAAAGAAGTTGTTATCATTCTTTTGTTTGGATGGACGAAAGAAAATAGAGAGAAAAGAAAATTAACAAATATCTAAATGATTAAAATGTTCTTATCAAAATATATCATATTTAAAATTAAATTAAATATTGTAATAAAAATTATACTAACATTAGCATCATCAAAAAATGAAATCAACTTATTTGGTTTATATATTTTTTCAGATTATTATGTTTTAAAACCAAATTATTTAATAAAAATATTGTTTTAAGATATTAGAAAATAAAAAGTGAACAACCTTTTAAATATAATAAAAATAAATATATGGAGAAGAAGAGAGAAGAGGGACAGTCATGAAAATCTTATTTTTCTTCTCAAATCTCTCTATATATAGAGAGAAATTTAGAGAGAAAATAAGACATGGGATCCACTTTATTTTTTCTTTCACTTTTTCTTTCTCTCTTATTTTCTCTCCTATCCAAGCAAGAGAAAATTTGTTTCTTCTCATGTTTTCCTCTCTAGTTTTCTCTCCTTCCTAATTTTTTCCAATCCAAGCAAGGAGTTAAGAAATGGGGCGCCTTTGCATGATGCCATTAGCAGGAGCGGAATGGAATCTCAGCAATATGAAGGCAATGCTATCTGATGTGTGTGCTTTCCTTTCTGGTCCCTCCCGTTCCTGGGAAATTCATCTGTGACTCTCTTCTTCTACCTTTCAGTTTCCCCCTGTATCTCTTCCGCAACTTCATTCCTAAAATCTGCTGCTACTGCTGTGTCAGAAAATTCCCATTGATTTCTATACTGATCATAACAGTATTATCTAAAAGAGGGTCTCTCTAGGTTTTTAGCGGGAGGCCAGGGGGAGGGAACGAAACAAAGGATGGGGCTATTAAGTTTGTTTCGGGGAACCACAAGGAATGAAATAAGAAACGGTGAACAACACTCAACATATATGATCAGGAACGAGAGCTTGGCCCTCTTAATTTGGTAGAATGACAACACCGCTTTTTATTTGGTTAAACCTCTGAACCATTGCTTCCTTGGCATGGCTTGGCTCCCTCGTGTTAGTTTTCGGATTTGGTGCGGGTAAGGTGGTTACCCTATGCTGTCATGCACCTTGAAAGAAGAAATAAAAGACCGATGCCTTTCTTTGCATTTTTCAAAGGATCCTTCTCCTTACATGAATACGTGTACACGTAGAATGCAGAAAAGAACGAAGTGAAGTAGGAGATAACATACTGATAGATTGAAAGAAGCAAGCAAAAAGAATAAAGCAGGATGCAGATTACCCTCACGAGCGATGAGAACTAAATTATCCATATTTATTTGATTTTGATTAACGTAGTAAGAAATTGAGCGAGCTAGACGCTTGATGAATGTTGAGGTTGTGCCAACTGAAGTTCAGGCGGCAGAGGCCAAGACTTGCCCCAAAGGAACACATGCATGCATGCACGCATTATATTATAACTGCTGGTGGAGGCAGCAGAAATCAATCCAGCCCACAAATTGCATGCAAGCAAAGACACGAGAAGAGGAAGATTATCACCGTCCTTCCCGTACGGGTCATCGGAGAGGAGGAGGGCGAACACCAAATGTTAGCCTCAGTCACATCCTCAGTAGCATATGAAGCCACCAAATAATCCATCTATGTGATCGGTAGCGACAAATGAAAAGGAGGTGAGCTGACAAGGATCATGAGCCCAAATTTTTAATTTTCATTGTTATCATACAAGTGTTATATACTTCTGATTCCAAAAATTTATGTAAAATTTTTACTAAATATACTTTTTATTTTTAGCCCCTTTCATAACTTAATCCTAATTATATGCCAACGCGTGGAATATATAGAAGGATATTATTTTTTCATCCCCACCCCGTCAGCTTACAACACACAAACTTCCTGCACCTTTGCCCACGCTACGCTACGTTCAGATGGCACCCTTTGTATATTTGGATCTTATTAATCTGTTTGTGTGTGTCTCTCTCCCTCCTTTTAACATGAGATAATGAGAACCAGTTCTCTCCCCTGCCCCAGTCACAACCAACTCAACTGGACGTAGTCTACATGCTATATATAATATGTATTTCTCTTAATCAGTGCAGAAACAGAAACTTGCTCTCCAGTTTATATCTACTCGCACATATTATTAGTTAGTACAAATCTCTACAAACGCCGAGTCTTGCATCCACCCTCTTTCCCGTTATTGGTGCTGCCTCTGCAAACACGTACATCCAGATCGGCTGTCTAAAAGTTTCTGCACAATTGCACAATCATGTGGGAAGAATCTGAGTTACATTGAATAGACCGTGCCGCATCCATATACAAATTTGACAGATGGTCAGACACAGTTAAGATGCGTGGGGTTTATGCCATACCTGAATCTGCTTTTGAAGGTCTTTAATGTGGTCGACAGCCAAGTCCAACATGTCCGCCGTGTTTGTTTGCTGGAAAGGGGAGGAAATATTATACTTATGCATGTCACAGCCTCATCATAGTGTCCACGAGAGAAACGGTTTATTTGATTATATCCTCTTACCTTGTCCATGTTGGGAACCAGATCTTGTAGTTTCCTCATGCGCTCACTAATTTTAGTTCTTCTAACCTGAACCCACCACTCATTTGCTCAGTCATTCCCTTTCCCCGATTCAACATTTATTCCATAAATAGTTAAACGCATTGTTTTGACGTTTTTGCCAGTCAAAATAATGGAAGAGAAATTAAAAGGATTACGCATAGAAAATGGGAAAAGTTTGTGGGGTCGAAAAATAGAGCCTACCCGCTCTGCAATGCTTCGGGGGTGAGTGGCACAGCCTCGCTTAGCACGAATTTTACAGGGAACAGTGTCTGAATACTGCAATAGCTTCTCAACGGCTGCCATCTCCATTGCAGTTTTTGGCAAACTCAAGTGATGAGTCAATGGAGGAGGACAGGTGCCCTGGCTTCCCCTCTCATTCTGACCAATCACAAACAACAAAAATCAGACCAATCACATTCCAGTGATCACAAACGATACCACGTCTACCCCTAACAGCATGGTACCTTGGCTTCAGCCGCACTTAAACCAGAAAATGGTTTTGCGTCATTCTCATCATCTCTGTATCTTTTATGACCACTAATATTGTCAGACATGATCGCAGAAGCGTCCCAAGGATCTTCAAGGAAACCCGACATAAAATCACCGCCCTGGCTTTCAGTAAAGGCCTCCTTCCGGGGATTATCTAATTCTGTGTAGTTTTTATCTCCGATTTCAGCTATGGATGACATTAACCCTGACGAGTAAGGCGGTCGGTTCTTCAACGTTCCTGCAGAAGGAAAGCTTGTCGCTTCAGTAGCGTTATCTGCAGCCACAAAAGTTTCCATGCCTCTCACAGCCGCAGCATAGCCTGCAGATATTGACCTCGGCATTGATATCATATACCCCCATGAAATTCTAACAAGACCATATTAATTTTATCATCGCTCCCTCAATTGGACATAACTAATCAGGCCCACTAGTGTGGGTGAGCGGGCAGCTAAATAATATCTGGAATAGATAATCTAAAGACATAAATTTGCTAAAGAGTTGTTACGCCGAACCAAAGACATAAATTTTTTTTGGATTAAGGAAAAGACAAAATAGAAAAGAAAGAGATAAGGCAGTAAAGGAAATGGGGAGGAAATACCAGGACCAATGTTGAAGTTAGCTAAGAGTCCCGGAGGGGAGCTATTATGCCGGGTTAGATTACTAGTACTATTTCCAAGTCTCGTCTTCATAGGGGGCAACCGATGAGCTGAGGGGAGGCTCTGATTCGGCAGAGGGGGCCGCGCTGATCTTGTGTATGGATTACGAGGAGCACTATCGTAAATATTCATGTTGCTCTGCTGCCGCCGCAAAACCGTCGGTTCATTGTTGATGGATGGCATGGCCTGAGCCTGAGCCTGAGGTAGCTGGTTCTGATCGTCCTCTTGCTTTACAGTGAGGGGCGCGAGATTTTGAGCAGGGGGATCCTCAGAAAAACTACTGATAAGGCGCGAAAAAACTCTCTCGGTTTCGGGGCTAGATGGTCGATTGAATATGTGCTCAAAACACTCCTTGTCAATTATATCGGTAAAATAGGAAGTGGGCGCCGATCGGTAACGTGTCAGCCCCGAATTAATCTGCTGCTGATCGCGAAACATGGGAGGATGCGGCTGGAGATCTGACTCCATTCCCGTTGTCTCGTCTCAAGGACGAGGAAGACCGCGCGTAATTATTGGAAGAGATAGAAGTTACACCACAGAGGCCGCTTAAGCCAATCGAGATCCAAGAGAGAAGGAGGAAGTAAAAATCAAATCCAAAGTGAGTGAAGTGAAGGGAAGGGAAGGGGATGAGAAGCAAAAGCAACAGCTGAAAATGATATGATGTGATGATAAACGTGAAGACGGCGGAAGCAAACAGCATGAACAAAACAGTAGCGGCAGGGGAAGAAAGAAAAGCAGAGCATTCCGTTTTGCGATGGGAGAGCCTGGACACATTGGGACTATAATACCCTTGCTTTTCTGGGATAATCCTGCCCCCCGACGTGGCTCCCTTCCCCATAATTAGCGCCCATCCTATATTTCTTTAACCTTGCCTTTGATTTCTGGCAAATCTGGAAAATCATTAATATACCGGGGGGTCACATCCTTTCCCCACTTCCTCAAAAGCCTCCCATCTGTTCTCCTTATCATTATTTATTTATTATACGGGAAAAATAATTTTCAATATAAAGTGACATAAACTGCTTCATAACAGTGCTCAAATCAAGTCTCATTTTGTTCCTGTTATTATTGCGCCTTCTAGAAACTGAAAACTCGAGAGGCTATTATCGATTCGCATCTCGGAGCAAGTGCAAGCCCTTTATGGTAGTTCATTTCACGCCACCAATCTTTTATTAACAAAACAGGAAAAGTGTGGGGCCCACCGGTGCCACGCGGCGCACGGTCGAGGAACGAGTGTGGAATATGATTTTGGGTGGCACTTCCTAACACCCGTACACATATGCTCCGGCCACCTAATCCCATCACTAAATCCTTTCCCATTTTATTGGGTTCTCTCTCTACCTTTGCTGTTGCCTGCTATTTTAGGTTTAAATGCATCTTTTCAGTTTTATGACTACTAAATGGTGAACTAAAATTTAATAAGCATATTAATCCTTTTCTGAAAATATACACCTATTATATAAATAATTAACAACTTGTGTGGCCTCGCGAGATCACGTAAACGATGGCAAGGATTTAAATGGTCATATTACATTAAAAAATATACATATATGTTCATTGCGTATGAACGAATTATAAGAATATACTGTAAATAATGATGTGTACGTGTGTGTGTATATATATATAATTTCCTTTTCATAAAGTCACTTCTCCGGAGGGCTTGATTGTCCGAGTCATCCTCGTCATCCTGCTGTTTCGGGAGCGTTCAATCAACTCCTCAATTTGTCGTTGTTTTTTTAATTTTTTTCCCCCTTCTTTAAAAACTTGTCGGATAATCAAGCATCCATAAGTCGCCGTATTCGCCAGCAAAGGAAAAAAAGAAGGTTGCCCCTTAAAAAACTCTGCATTTTTGTTTCGGATCAGTAGTCCCTTCTTTTTAATGAAATTCTAGAGACGCTTGAGTAATTTTTTTGGTCGGAACAGGTGCATTATGGGAAATGACTTGATGAGTAATTTTTGCATCAGTCGAGGTTCCCCAATACAACAGAGACGAACGCTGGCTAACACCATGTGCTAAAGAAATATCTGAAGACCAAAGGAGGTACTAGCTGCTGCTGAAATGAGGAGTGGCAAGCCGGATTTCTTTTTTTTTTTGGGGGGGGGGGGTGGTTTCGTTGTTGTGATGTCTTTAATCCGAAAGGAAGAGACAAAGCTATATAGATTGAGGAGGGGGATGATACACGTGTCTTGAGCGTTGAATGGAAAGTGAGAAAAGAAGAGCGCCAGAGCTGGGAAGGAGGACGGAAGGATCAAGTAATTAATAACAAATTAACGGGGACATGTGGTTGCGTGCTCCAAAAAGACAAGCGCAGTTGAGTGTACTCTACGATCCCTTGGGTGTTCGGTATTCGTGGCACTTATTTCATTATGTATTACCATATATATACATAGTCATTGTCGTCGTCGTCATTTAAAAAATTCCTGAAACCCAACTCTCTTCACTGGGGGTATATGACACGGGGCATCCCTTTGTTTCAGCACATTTAATTAATATTGAGTTATCAGGCACAACAATTAATTAATATTGTGTGTCGGTGTGTGCGCTAGGTTAATGAATAATAGTATAATATTTTTTTTAAAATTCCAACAATAATGTATTATTGAGGAAGGAGGTGGGCGGTGGTGACGAAGGAACAGGGCAAGAGATGAGGCCAGCCTCAAACAAGACAAGATGGATGCAGGGTTCTCTCTTGCATCGGGCCCCTCCATATTTACATTAGGCCTGGCCCTCATATCCATCACAGCCTTTCGGCCTTCCACCCTAACGCCCACCCTTTTTTTTTTTTGGGCAAGAACCAAAAGAAATACAAATTACGGTGCTTCTGGCCTTTTTTTGGAAGAGCTGATGGAGGGGTGGCTTGCTTCATTTGCTTAGGTAAAAGGAAGAAGACCAGACTGAGGATTGGAGGCCTGCTCCTTCTGTTAGCTTGGTTCAGACTGTGAGCATCCGTCGAGAATAAGGGCCCTCCTTAATTAATTGCATCATTCCTGCGCGTATTCTGCTAACACCTGCTCTTACTCACCATAATCACACCGACCTCCGGCAACTGCTCTTATTTATTATCATCACATCCCAAGAGAAGATGTATTTCTAATCTTCAGCACACGTACTTATTTTTATTGCAGGCTCTCTTGGAATTCAATGATACCGAGCGTTCCCTTTAATTTTATTATTTATTTTTTAAATGTGAGCGCGTGCGTTCGAATGATCCACGGGAGTATAAACTATGTAATGGGCGCATACGATATCTTCTAAATAAGAATTTGGCACGCGGCCCCCATAATTATGTATTGATCGAATCGTTCTTTTTTCCTTCTTTTGGCTCAGCCATAGCTGCTATCGTTATAAATCCATCACTGATTGGGTGCCTGTAAACTCAGGAAATGGAAGGGATGGATCACATACCTGGCTGCTGGTATCACATGGCTGTTGGTATATATACATTAATGTATCAATATGCATGTTTGGAAGCTTCCCACCTCTTTGGGTTTTATGTTATGATACACAACCACTCGTCTGCCATATATATGCCAAAATATTGGTTGAACCCTGCGCAACAATTAATTTATAATCGCGTAAGCAGATTCTGGGACCTTATGTTCCAATATTTTTGCTTTCCCCTAACGAACAATATCGCTATATATATAATCTAATTAGCTTGGTTTGAAAAGCAAGCTGTGCACATGCTTCTCCGGGCTGCTTCGTCCCCAAGAAGGTTGGCTATACGAAGTATATCATAATATATGGTCAACCGGCGATAGAGTCGAATAAGAATATATAAAGATTAATATCGGCCGAGACATTAAGTCAAACAAGAAACAGCGGGCCTTGTTTTGTACGCTGCGTTGGAAAATGGCTGCCCCAGATATCACCTAAAGTTTACCCCGATATTTCGTACGTTGAAAACAAAACAAAAAAATTAACAGGCTTAGTAATTAAGTAGACCATGTGGGGATTGTCAAACGTAGTTAATTTAGAAGGAATATAGTAATGCATGTGTATATAGGAGGATTAGTTAAGCGCTGCACCTAATCACACACGGAATTGTGATAACAGGGCTGGAGGGGCCAGCTGTAGCAGCAAGACATTGGTAAAATGTGGAAGCTGCGCTGGACTTGGAGCGGGTTTGTTCATCGAAGACACAACAAAAAGAGAGAAAAGCGAAGTCCATATGCCTGATGGGGCGTCCAAATGATCGATGAATATTGCCTTCTCGTAGCGTGTGTATATTAACAGTGGCAGAACATATATATCACATTATTTCACATGGATGTGGACACGCGTGCTTATTCCCCTCGCCACTATTGCATTCGATTTAAACAAACCATTCATAGAGTCAAGAATAAATTAGTAAAGAAAAGGGTTGTGAACACATACAGATATACGTGCGCCACGTCGGAAGGAGCGCCAGAGGTTATTAAGATATAAAATACAAGGATGCTGTGTTTTTCCCAAAAGCAAACATGGAATCTCGGGGATAAGGCTTTGAGGCGGTCTTCCGTGGCGGATTGGGTTCTTGCGCTTTTTATAAGGGGGAGTGAAGAGTGGAAGATGGGCGTGCTTACGTCCCCCTTGGAAGATGGGTGTGACAATCTCAGTCTCAGATGGATAGATGGTTCCCCTCTCACAGTTGCCACAGATGCCAAAAGTGCCCCATTTAAAAATAGATGCATGGGAGGTCGATCGTTATTGTTTAATTCCTTTGATCCCTTCCCTAACCATCTGACTAGTAGTTTTGGAGGATCGATCGAGTAAAGTAGTTGTCCTGTAGCCATCAATCATACATCTGCCTCCCTGGACCCTAACCCTCCGTCCACATGCCCATGTTTTTGAGTCATATGCCCAAATCCACTTGATGAGCTCGTCTTGGATTTATTATTGCTATAGAAATTATATGTTTAGACGTAACGATGCCAAACTTTTTGTCCCGCCTGAATTATTTTCCGCTCAATCCCTGCGCCCTATCATATCATGTGCCTGGTTGGTGCAAGAGCTTTTCCCATGTTCCCTTGTTTCTTTCTCATCTATAATTTATCTCTTCACATCGCTCCGTCTATATCCTTTCTTCTTCCTTCTTATCTTCATATATTCACTCGCGCATCTTCCAACTATATTTCGCTTGCTCCGTATAATAGTAAATATACAACTTGCACCCTCTTGTAAAAAAAAAAAAAACACAAACCTGTATGTACGTATTCGAAGAGGACAAAACGAGACTAAACACTGCCATTTATAATTTAATTTTTCGTTCAATCAGTTTAAGATGGGACGGAACGGGGGAGAGGAGAAAGTACTTCTCAGATAAATAGCGTAGCGAGCTCGCAGTGGCAGTGCAGAACTGTTGAGGTAAATCATCCTGATAAGGAAGGGCAAATAGGTCACAAGAAAAGAGGAAGGAGCAGTATATAAAGGACGTTGTGAGAGCCCCAAACTTGCATGCAGAGGCTCCCCCTGCCATCGACATTTGCAGTAATAAATAAAAGAGCATCCAGCAACTGAGGCCGCCACCCACAGCCTTCATTACGATATTAGAGCCAGTGCAGCCAATCCTCACTCAATGGCCACACCTCCGACTGCGTCCATTGGAGTGCTGCTTTTGCTCCTCGCCATTAGCCCGGCCGTCCACTCTTGCCCCCCTTCTGACCGGGCGGCCCTCCTCGCCTTCAAGGCCGCTCTCCGCGAGCCCTACTTGGGCATCTTCGATTCCTGGACCGGCACCGACTGCTGCCGCAACTGGTACGGCGTCAGCTGCGACCAGCACTCCCGCCGCGTAGCCGATATCAATCTCCGCGGCGAATCGGAGGACCCCCTCTTTCAAAAAGCCCGCCGCACCGGCTACATGACCGGATACATCTCCCCCGCAATCTGCAAGCTCACCCGACTCTCCAGCATCACGGTCGCCGACTGGAAGGGCATCTCGGGCGAAATCCCCCGATGCATCACCTCCCTGCCCTTCCTCCGAATCGTCGACCTCGTCGGGAACCGAATCTCCGGTGCCATCCCCGGCGACATCGGCAGGCTCCGCAGCCTGACCGTCCTGAACGTGGCGGACAATCAAATATGGGGGGAAATACCGGCGTCACTGGCGGACCTGAGCGGCCTGACGCACCTGGATCTGAGGAACAACAGAATAACGGGGCCGCTGCCGAGAAGCATGGGGAGGATGAGGATGCTGAGCAGGGCGTTGGTGAGCGGGAACCAGCTGAGCGGCACGATTCCCACTTCCATCTGCCAAATATATCGGCTGGCGGATGCGGATTTATCGCGGAACAAGATAACGGGGCCCATCCCGGAGTGCGTGGGCAGAATGGGAGTTCTGTCGACGCTGAATCTGGACGGGAACAGATTGTGGGGCAGAATCCCAGAGAGCCTGTTCACTTCGGGGATAAGCGATCTGAACCTGAGCAGGAACGGGCTGTCGGGCACAATACCGAATGCGTTCGGGGCAAGATCCTACTTCACGGTGCTGGACCTGTCGTATAACAATCTGAAGGGCGGCATCCCGGAGTCGGTGTCGAGGGCGGGCTACATAGGGCACTTGGATTTGAGTCACAACCATTTGTGCGGCAGGATCCCCAGCGGGGCCCCCTTTGACCATCTGGAAGCGTCCTCCTTCGTCTCCAACGATTGCCTCTGCGGCAAACCTCTCAAACGTTGCTACTAGCTAGCTACTCTTCTTGTTTTCGTTTGTCGTCAATACTTACTGTGTTTCTTTTTGCATGTAATTTAGAAGCCCCCTCTCCTCTGTCCCATCCTCCCTACGTACCTACGTAATTAATTAATTATTATATCTTTCTTCTCCCGACACTTCCACAGCACATGCATCCATCCATCCATCCGTCCATCAAAGTCCTCATGCGCCTCTCTTTCAAGGTTGACTCCTCCGTTGAAATTCCTTACTTTTCGTTTTCCCATAACTTCAGAGCTTGCGTTTGTCTCCCGTGTTATGGCCTGTAATAGAATATTAAGAATTTCAAAGTGACATAGGAAAATGATATTCGCTTTTCAAATGTATAATTTATGAATAAAAAACTATTAAATTAGTTAAAAGTAATAAGTAGGTTGGAAATATACTTTTATTTTTAAATATTCTTATAATAAGTAAAAAAAATCATAAAAGGAAACGTATTGTGAAATGTGATAGGAGAGAAAATAGATAATTAAAGACAAAATAAAAAAAATGCATAAAATATTAAAACAAAATCAAGTTGAAACTTATAAAATAAACAATACTCATTTATAAATTTAAAACTTATAAATAAGATGAGGGAGAAAAGACAAACTAGTCCTATTTTTCAAATTAAAGTATGATAAATATGCTACCATATTATTACAAGTATTTGTTATCGGATGGAAGATAGTACAAAAATGATGAGTTGTAACTTGTAATCCGGGACTTAGGCCTCCCAGTTTGCAAGATCGTTGAAATCCAAAACAAAGCACAACCATTGGCTAGCAAGGCTTTGAATCACTGTTTTGGAGCTTAATTAATTTAAGAACATAGAAAGGGGACAAAATGAGTGGATAAGAAAAGGGGGAGTAGATGGCGGACAGGTCACGTGAAGGCTGAAGAGGAAAGCAGATGGTAGGTGCCGCATCAATTAAAGGAGAGGGGTGGGAGCTTGGCTGGATTATTTTGTTAGAGTTTTGTGGTAAATTTTAACGGTGTAATATTATGTCATCATAAATTTTCTATACGACAAAAACATAGTGCGTAATGAAAATTAAACCCTGCTATTGCCACCCACTCACAAACGATTCACACTATCTACAACACTTGCTATATCAAGTTTGATCATCAAGACATCATGATGTGAAGATGGGTTTGGTGAAGAACATAAAACGAAAGGAAAATTAAACAGGAGGTGAAGAGCACAGATATCTGGAGGAGCTCCTATATGTTTGCGTGAAGGCCACATGCCATTATAGCTCATTAATTCCAGCTTGATTTATATTGGCATGAGTTGTTATGTCCCAGCTCTCCTTGCTATGTATACAGAGGCTGATTACAGTACTATTTTGAGATTAAACAAAGGGGGGGTGTGTGTGTGTGCGCGCTTGTCTTATAATGAAAAACAGAAAAACGGCAAAAACAGCAATTAATAATTAAGAAGATGAGCAGCCCACTTAAAAGAGATCCAGGTAGACAAAAACAGAGGAATCCGAAACTTTGGGAGGAGGAAAAGTTTCATCATCTCTCGCACATCTATTATTTCTCCTTCCATAATTCTGTATATTTGGAACCGATGTTGCCGATACTTGAAGACGAAGTGGAGTGTTTTGTGCATGGCTGACGCCTACACGCAACCTACCTCTACCTACAATTTCAAATCAATTATGCATATGACACTAAAGGGAAGGCTCCACAAAGTAATATATATCTAGTTGTTTAATTATGGGAAGGACAAATACAAGATTAGAGATAACAGAATCCTCGCGTTATCATATTGCTTTAATTTCAAATAACATGGAGGATGATGGCAAAATATATTAAGCATCATCATGTGTGTGTGTGTGTGTTTCTCTTTCTCTCGACATGAAATATATGTATACTGAGATTGATTACACAAGCTCAAGGAATAATTAACTAACTATAGAACCACTCCTGAGATTATTGGATTTGATTACTGAATCGTCTTTTCGAGATAAATTGGTGTTCGACAAGGTTACTTTAATTTGCAGCTACATCTTCTCTCAAACATAGACACCCACACACACATATATATACACACACACACTTATTAGTTATTATACATATATTTAATTTCGCCCTTTGGCAATACATGTAATTAAGGACGTTACGTTCTCCTGCTCTCCAGACATGCTTGTTCTCGACTATATAAATATAAGGCGTTTGATGCGAGAGAGATGGAGCAAGCATACACAAGCACAGAATATTCGAATATGCGAAGCGGGTGAAATTAAATGATGAAACGTGTTTGAGACAAAAATTGTATATGCATATATTCAAACATATATTATTTGATGGAGCTGGACGGTCGTGCTTAATTGTGCTGTACGTGTGTGGTAAAGAGTAAAGAGAAGATGCCATGGGAATTTGGAATTATATTATAGCAAGGCATTCATCTGTGCTGCCCCTCAAGCTCAAAAACGCCTTCATTCATTCCATTCCATTCCTTGTTGCTTAAATGTCCACGCATTTATTATACTCTATTCATCGTTCCTCCTGCAAAATTTGACCCCTTCCATATTCCTTGTTGCTTTAATGAATTTGGTTATATATGATTTAAACTAAACAAAATATTGCTACTTATTGTTTACTTTTCATTGATGATGAAACTACATATATATATATATTTAATTACAGTAGACGGAGTTCCAGTGCTATAAACATCCAGGTACTTAATTTGATATAAGGATATGTTGAAACATCATTCTATCTGGTTACAATCTCTCAAACAAGTGATTATGTTGAAGCAGAGGAAGAGTAGTTACATGGGATTCATGAATGCCTGCTTTTTCCTCACGGACAACCAGATGCTTATAAGTCATCAAAGACCTGGGAAGAGATAAAGATGGGCAAGGGGTGCGGGAAAACAGTGAAAAGTAACTGTGTGTGTGTGTGTTCCCTCCAAACTTATTATATCTTGATCTAAATATGAATTGTCTTCACGAGTATAATTAAATATTCGGTAAAATATAGGTCGATCAAAATTTTTGGGGAAAAAATTAGAGTTTGTGATGTACTTATGAAAAATAAATATTTTCAATTACTTGTTTCTTATTTGCGTTATATATATATATATATAGGAGTGGAGGGTACAGTTTGAAAACGACTCCATTGGTTAGAACAGAGAGAATAATAATACAGGTTAAGAATCGGACAGGGAGCGCGTATGTAAGTGGGAGACTGTTGGTGATGACTCGTAAAATTGAAAGAGACTTTGTAATAATTTTGGGATGGGAAAGGCGAAAGGGAGTGAGTGAAGAAAAGACAAGAGACATGGTTGTGTCATACGTTGAAGCCCATCGAATGTTGAAATTAAAAGAAGCTCTCCCATTTGCTGCCGTAGCTTCTGCATCGATCGTCTAATATTATTACATACATATATGCTTCCCTCTTCCATCTTCGACTCTTCTACATTTCTGGTGGCAATATTAACTGGTGGCTTCCCCCATTGACATCCCCGTTCACACCAAGTAACCCAAACTAATTATACTAAAAGGTACGTTCTGGCCTGGAGGGGCTATTATCTGTTAGTGCCCCGCCATTTTAGAACTCTTTGTCCCTCCCCCTCATCATAACAATCCCCCTTTCTTTTGCTCCTGCCACCTTTAATTTGCCTGCTCATTATTACCCACATAAGGTTACTCGCATTTAATTAATTATTTCTTTTATTAAGCTACCACAATTAATTCTATCATCAGCATATACATATATTAATTAAGCTACGACGACTACGTACCCGATCGGTCCCTTTTATTAAATTATATATACATTTATATTTATATTAAAACCACTCCTCCTCCTAATAATTCTCTGCTCACAGAAAGAGAGCACCCTTTAGAGTCCTTTCCTGCTTCTAGCCATTCATTGTGAAAAAGGAGGGGAATATTTTGAAACGCCTATGATTCTGAATAATTGGCGCTCCATGTGACCCCACGACCGCACCTCCATTTTCTTTAATATAATCACCCCCTTTTTCCGGTTCAAACAATAATTATTAATTATACCCTCTAATATCAATTATATATCACCATCCTCACCTCAGCGCATCTCATTAAGAAAATGTTAAACAAGATCGCGTGCGTGCGTGCGCTCTCACGCACACTTGAAGATATTGTTTTCACGTATTAACAAATTAAACAACCGCAGTGTACGCCTAACCCCTATCATTTACTATCACATTTCCCTCACTAATTTCCCTAACCCTTTTCTCTCCTCCTTCCCTTATTCTATGTACCCTTCAAATCAATAACTAATCCCTCCCCCTTCCTACACGTGCCTTAGAATTCTGTTACGGATATGTTCCGTCCTTTCTCCGGTGACGCCGGCGTTCTTAATCTCTCAAAGTATTCGCCTATGTCCGCCCCGCTGCCGCTCATTCTTCGCCCCGTCCGGTCCCCATCATCTCTTGACGGAATAAACGGTGGCCGCACGACCTCCGTTAGTAGGTCCCACCGGACCCCTCTGAAGAACTCGTGCTCCTTGATCTCGCTGGCACCGCGCGCGTAACCCAAGCGCTTTGCGGGGTCTTTCTGCAGCAGCCGTTCAATCAGGTCGGTTAATGTTGTTCGCCTCCCTACGAATTCTGGCGCTTTCATCAGAACATTACGAAACGTCTCTTTCCTATTCCTTCCCTTAAACGGCGTCGTGCCGTACTGCATCTCGTACGTCAATATGCCCAGGGCCCACCAGTCGACGGCGAACTCGTGTCCCTCGCCGCGGACGACCTCGGGCGAAACGTACTCCTCTGTGCCCACGAACGAGTTAGAACGCTCACCATTTGAGAAACTTGCTTTCCTTCTGCTCACCGGGATGACTCGGGCCGACTTGGCCTTCACCAATCCTCTTTTGTGGTGAATAATGTCCGACGGGACTGGAATCCATCGCGTGAAATTCCGGCGATGCTTGCTTCGGTTATCGGACAGATTTTGCTCGACGGCGATGGCGGTTTTGATGGTTTTGGGGGTGAGGTGGCGAGACAGGTCGAAGTCCGTGAGAGTCACGTGACCGGACTGCTGGACAAGGACATTCTCCGGCTTCAAATCACGATAGGCGATGCCCAGGGCATGAAGGTGCTCTAAAGCGCAGATGATCTCTGCCAA